TCTAGTCTTCCCCATGGAATTGTGAAGCCGTACTGAAACCAAGATTGAGAGACCATTTAAAGGCTCAGGAAACCTTCGCAGGTGGTTTGAGTTCATTAGCTGATAAGAGTGTGATACCGTGAGTCTACAATATTGAACTTTTTCACAATATTCAAATTTTCTGAGATACTGATTTGGGGGTTTTCATTAGCTGTAAGCCGTAATCATCAAGATTAAAACAAATAAAGCCTTGAAATATTTAACTTTGTGTGTAATGAATGCATATAATATGAGTTTCACTTTTTGAATTGAATTAATGAAATAAATTCACTTTCCCACGATATTCTAATTGATTGAGATGCACGTGTATTACCTAACTACTTTTTTGCAAGGTATTATAAAAAACACTATTAACCAATAATTTCTTAAATGGCTCCTTTCTTCATCATCTTCAGTTGCAGCAGTCTCAGTCAGTGACAATTTGGTTTAAGATGGCGCTGCATTGCATACTTTAACTTAAGGTTATTATTACACGTTTAACACAAATCTGAGCTGAAACCTCAAGTCGTTAAATCAGTTAATTGATCGAGCTTCTCAAACGTGAATAATTGTTACTTTTTGTAATACACTATACATTGACTTAAAAGTAACCCGAGCCCTTATAACATACATTACTATGACTTTTTAACTATATAAAAAAATATATACTATTAATTTTATATAAATTATGAAATCTTTTGAATTTCTTTCCTGAACTACGATACATGACCCTTTTATGATTATAAATAATAAGTGTGGTTTACGGGGACTCAAGCAAAATAGTTTGTGAGACACTGGACCTGTGGATAGAGCAATCGTTATCAATCCAGGACATCCATGTTATTGCTACGTCTCTATACCCGCTCCAGGACTGTTTTCGATCAGACCTTGACCTCTGATTATTGTGAGGAGGCAACAACTGCATCTCTCTGGGGATCAGTGAAACAGTGCATCACATTAAAAGTCCACTCTCTCTGTGTCCAGGTGGTCGTGACGGCGGCTGGTTCTTCAAGCCTCTGGTCTGGTTCTGGATCGTGTTTGGTCTCGCATACTTTGCCTCCATCCTCACAATGATAGGCAACTGGCTGAGGGTGCTGTCTAAGAGGACCCGCGCTGAGGTGAGAGATTTGTGGTGGACATCCTCGACTGTACACCAAAACAGGAAGAGCTGCACTTAAAGCAATACCTCAATTGTGTGAGATACTTATTCATAAACACAATAGATGGTTGTCGCCTCCCAGTTTGTAGAAACAAGCAGGAGATACGTCACCGAAGAAAAGCAATGTACTGCACAATATCACTTTAAGTGTACCTGCCGGAAAGGGATGTTGGATGTAAAGCAGTGAATATATTCTAAATATAGCCAACACATAAAGTGATATTTATTATTTTAGGTGGCTAAAATATGTTTTGCTAGCCCCCCTGTAACAGCAGTACAATGCTTTACTTCTGAGCCTGTTCCACTAATCTGAGGGTTTGTCCAGCGTCATTACCGTGGATAAGTTCTCATACAACCCTACCTTTTAAAGAAATCTTGAATATCACTTTAATTTAGTTTAGAGGTTAATCTTTTCTCACTTTCTCTTAGATGGAGGAGTTGAGGGCCCACGCTACAGATTGGACCCAGAACATCCAGAACATGTCCATGGACTTCCGCATCCCTAACCCTCTGGAGTTCAACGACCCTTTCCTCCTGCAGCGCCGCCGCTGGAAACGCAGTGAGCGCCGCCGCATCCGCAGGGGGGGCGAGGGAGCGCTGGGGTACCTGTCCCGCGGAGGATCTGAGAACGGACACCTGCCGAACCGATGGGCCACCCTCTCCAGCTCCATGAGCCGGCTGGATGCCGTTTCCTCTCTGGAGAGGGCGCTGGTGGCCAAGTCCAGGCAGAGGGTCAGTGCTGCTGGAGGGGGAATGGTCCCGAGGGTGGGGGCTCTGTTGAGGGTGGACCCCGCACTGGGCCTGCAGGTGGAGGGCAAGTCGTTTCCTCATCGGCTGACCCGCTCCTTCTCCGTCCCTGTGGCCCGCTCCACCTTAGAACTGGACTCAGCATGTGTAGCCATGCAGGGGGGGTCCTTCTCTGGATCAGAGTCACCTTTTGACTCCAGATCAGATGTCTCCTCTGCATCATCGTCCTTTTTGGCGCTCCACAAGTTGCAGCCCTGCCTCACAGCCAGCAAGATGGAGGAGGGAGTATCGAGAGCCGCAGACACGGACAAAGCACAAGAGAGAGACAAACTGATTCCAGCAGAGAGATCTGTATCTGTGGTCAACAAGAGCCCAAAACATGCAGCTGCTCCTGTTGTGGGCACTCGCTTCACCCCTCTTCACACTTCTTTTCCTCCTTCTCGCAATCCTATCCACCTCCCCTCCCCTGTCCTCCACGCTGCCTCTGCTTCCAGCTGCCAGCTGCTGGATTTCTTCGGAGAAAACCTGGCGTACATCGACGAGTCCTCGGACACTCTGAGCGACCGAGCGGGAGGACGGGAGGAGAGGAGGAGGCGGCCTCGAAAGCCCAAGAGGAAGAGTATGAGGAGGCAGCTGTCGCACAGGCTGAGCCCCACACAGGTGAGGAGGCCCAGCGGTGACATGCAGCCGCCTTCAAATCCCCCCACACCCCCCCCAGACTCCTCTCTCTCAGACGGGCCTCGGTCAGAGAACCAGCCGACTCTCTGACAGCCCCCACACACACGGAGCCAAAGTCGAGGCATGAGAGACGTAATAAACATTGGTGGTTTTACATCACACCTGAAACTCTGACCACTTCAAACAAAAACCATATAAACATTATGTATACGTGTTAGTCTCACCATCATGAATGTAGCTGATGTTCAGGATATTTTTGAGCTGAACTAAGTCAACCCACATGTTTTGCTTTGTTACTCTGTAATATGACAAAGTTTGATGGACATTTGATGGGAAAACCTCAATGGGGGCTGTTTCCCTGCTTCGCTTCAGACTTAAAGATCTAAGACATTAATATATTATAATCCAGGCTGAATGACTGCATCATTTACTGATCTTTGCTTCAGATTTTAAAGCAATTTAGCAATTTGGGCTCTGTGTCTTTAATGAGGGGAATTTCATCCTACTGTAACCATTTGTTCCAACATACTGTATGTGAGCTCTACTCTGCCACATACACTCTGACCATTTGCATGCATTAATAGATCGAGCAAGTCCCACTAAGCTATGATAAAGATTATGGGCAGTGTGGCAATCAGAGATGGGGTCGTTACTAAAAAAAAAAGGTAATATATTACATATTACTTTTTTTTAAAGTAATATATTACACTACTTCGTTACTCTCTACATAAAGTAACTAGTTACTTTACTCGTTACTTTACTCGCAGGGCCAGCCCTCCCCTCCCTACAGGCAGATCACGCAGACTGCTAAAGTTTCAAATGTTCTCTTTAGTTCAGTTTCCATTTTCGCATAAGACTGATCCAGATAGCTCCTGAATGTTTTCCTATCTGACCATGGCTGTCCTCTGTCTCCTGCTATCTCAATTTTGCGCAGTATATCTCTGAACGATGGTGATTCCACTGTGCAAATGGGCAACATTTCCTCTACTATGAAGGATGCTACAAGGATGAAGGGCCGTGTAGGCCAAAATTCAAACTCACCTCGCACACACACTACTGAAAACATCTGGCCTTGCACACACACTACTGAAATACTCTTACATTCACTACTGAACACCTCACACACACACTACTGAAAACATCTGGCCTTGCATACACACTACTGAAATACTCTCACATTCACTACTGAACACCTCACACAAACACTACTGAAAATTAACCTCACACACACATAACTGAAAATTAACTTCACACACACACAACTGAAAATTAACCTCACACACACACAACTGAAAATTAACCTCACACACACACAACTGAAAATTAACCTCA